CTGGACTACATAGTGAGTTCAAGACCAACCGGAATTATATAGCAAGATGATCTCAAAAACAAAGCAAAACAGGATTAAAAATTCAGTGTGTACATAGCTCTTCGAACCGTGCCTGGTATGTAAGTTATGGGCTAACTGATAGAGTTTTTGTTGCTATTCATCTCCTTCCATAGGAACTCCTTCCAGCTGGGACACAGTCTAATTAATTGTTATATTTGTAACACCAATGCAGAACTCAGCAAACAGCTGAAACCGATAGGGAGGGAAGGAAGGTTGGATGGCGTTTTCCTTCATGAGTAAGCACTAGATTACTCCAAGAGTGATCTCATGGAGGAGTATGGCTCTTCTTAGGCAGATAGAGCCAAGGATATAGTGAATATTACACCATAGTTCAATTCTCCCATTAGGAGAAGCCTGAGGCTTAGGGAGTCGTGCCTGTGGTTGGGTGTGCAGCTCATTAGCTTTGGATGGGCTGTGTTAAGGAAAGTGCACCTTGGGAAGGTCTAGTTTGGGGCAGTGCAGATTGAGCAAATCCAGTGTGATGAGAGAAAGCTCAGGTATGGTGAGAGCTGCTCATGTTTCCGTCAAGAGACTGAAAACCAATCTGAGAACTGTGGGAAAAGAGGAGTTGTTTAGAATATGGCTTGGCCGAGCCTGTTGAAGTCATGCTTGAGTTCTGGCTCTGGACTTTCCAGCTAAAAGGAGTCCCCATACAGAAAGGAAACCCTATGGGGAGAGAGAGAGGTTAATTTCTATTGCGGGTGTCATGGGAGAGTGGCAGTGGGAGCCACTGCCCCTACAAAATCAGTGTCTCCCCATGCCCTGCCCCACAGAACAGCCCCATCCCAGGGAACTTGGGGAAGAGGGAGAGCAGGGAACCATTGCTATGAAGCACATGTTTGCCCTGCCTAAGGCACAACGATAAATTCACATGATAATAGATCTACCAATATGACTGGAAAGGCATGGAACAGCTGAGGGGTGGGAAAATCATAACCCAACTCACCCTGGTGTCGTTAACCTCCCACTTGGGAGTAGCTTAGCACTGAGCATCCATTATGTATTAGTGAGAATGAGGATGTAGGAGGAAGGGCAGTGTGGGCGTAGCAACTCAGCTTAATAAGTCAGTACAGTAGAGCAGGATGTGCTCGGCACAGGAGCCAAGAGCTCTGGTTTCTGTCATCGCCCTGCTCTGGGTGACTTTGGGCAAGTCATTTATCTGTTCTGGCCTTGATTTCCTTGTCTGTAAAATGGAGCTTGAATTAAAATCACCTCCTAAAGTCCTTCAGGCTCCAAATTCAATTCAGATGGTTTTATGCATTATGAAGAAACTTGGAAAAGTCGCATTCCCTATCCCAGAAGGTTTAGCCTAGCAAAATCTCCACAAGCAGATGGTCATCCTTCATGGAGCACATTTCCCAGGCTGTGGTCAAAAGGCTTTCCCTAAAGAACTCTTAACAGAAGAGCACCAGTGTGACCCAGCCCGGGGTCTGGGGACATGCTGTCAGGCATGACTTGTCTTTGAGTTTTTTGTTATCTGGAGGGTAACTTCACATTCTATGCCATCATCTATCCTTGCTTGTGTTCATATAAAATTAAGATTTTTAAGTTATTAAATCTAGATTTGGAGGTTGATAGAGAACCTTACCTTTCATTTAAATAATCATCAAGTCCTAATCCTGGATGATAGGATTACAGGAAGTATCTAGTTTCTTGTTTGTGCTTTCTGTATTTTCAGTCTCTTCTCAAACTTAAAACTAAAGAAAATGAAATACATATTTTAAAGTGAAATGTATCATAGTTTTGACCTTCATATGTAATATTTGAGGGGAGGATTTCCCTGTATGAATGAGTTCCCTCATGGCTTTTCTTACTCTGTTCACATGATACGTGAGTGCTGTAGAGACAGAAATCACACGAGAATATGTGCATCTGAATGATGGTGATGAAGGTAGCTATCATCACTGTGTTTTTAACCTATACTAGCATTATATATCCTGGCATGTACATTTCTCTACTCTATTAAAGCTTTTGAGGCAGTATGATCCACATTTAACCAGTGAAATAACTGAAACACTGAAGCGTTAAAACAACTTTCCTGGTTGGAACATCTTTTTTTTTTAAACATTTATTTATTTATTTATTTATTGTGTGGCCAGCTCAGCCCACCAGGGGGCGGGGCTGGCTGGCATGTGGTGCTGGGGGATCGAACCGTGGTCCCTGTGCTTTGCCGAGCTTGTTCCAAGTAGGTGCTTTAGATCACTGAGCCATCTCGCCAGCCCTGGAACATCTTTAATGCCTCATTTTTTAGCTTCTCAGCTCACCCCTAAGACCTGATGCTTGCAGCAGCGGCTACTACAGAGCAGTGGGTTCTTATCACTCGAGTACTCCCTTCTCTCCTGCTTTCGTGTATTCCTGTAGCCTGAGATTGTGCCTGGGCCAGAGTGGTAGAATGAACACTCACAGGGGGCCCAGCTAACAGCGGCAGGGAGGCCTCAGAGTGGAGTAGACACCAAGCAAGCCTTTATCCGCAGGCAAGAGTCACCAGCAATCCTTGCTTCCTGCTCCTGATGCCAGTAGAGTCCCAGATTTCTGCCCACCTGGTACTGCACCTGATCCCTCAACAAAAGGGTCAGTGGGGAAAAGACAGGGAAGTGGTCCACATAAGTGAATCTCAAACTTGAGCAGGCATCAGACTCTCCCAGGGCACTTATGAGAGCACAGGGGTCCCACCCCAGAGCTTCTGATTCATTGTACACTGCTCTGATAAATGTCTTGAAGCAACCAGTTATTCTCTAACCAATAACAGCACACAGGACCATTTAAGAGTTTGTCCAGAGTCTAAAATACCGTCCCTCAGAGTGTACACTACAGGCTGATCCAGATTCTTACTGAAAGGTATAAAGAGTATAAAATATATACATGTACCAATACCCCACGATGAGTATATTCGTTATGTTTCACAAACATATACTAATAAAAAGCTTTCTTTTGCGAGAACTTGAGGATTGGACAATGAGGATAGTTCAAGGAGAAAAGCTGGAAAACAAGACAGGGACAAAGCCATACATTTATACACACAAGATGGGCAAGGCAATGATCCTGAGAAACATCAGCAGGTTTTTTAAACTAGCAGTTAATTGGTAGGATTCTCAACCTGACTAACTATATATCCTGATACCTGTGAACCAAGCAACTGCACTGGAGATAGCAATGTGTAATAGGAGGGTCACACTTGGAATGCCTATGATTCTGGACTTCTAAATACGTACTTCTTGTCATGACATGCCAATTATTACCATACTGTCTCATAAGTAAAAGATTTTTTTTAAATGGGTAATAAATGAAAAAAGACACAAGAAAAAGGAAAAAAGTCACAGGACTGTCCTGCTACAATGCTGTATATGGTTAGATTTCTAAATTTCTGTGTAAAAAATATGTAACTGTTTATTCATATTCTTTAAATATTTTTTCATTTTTTAAATTTTTATCTCCATATTCTGTAAGGACTTAATGTTTAAAATATCAATACTTGGTGGAAAATACCTGTTCCATGTTATGCCTAAGATGTTTGATATTCAGACAGATATGAAGTTAAACCCAACTGCATATGTTGTAGGGCAATAATAAGCTTCTCTTCTGGAGGGTTAACAACCTAAATTTGCAGACCAAAAATTAAGAGAAATAGAGGGGCTGCCAGGACAGTCAACATTTTGGCCATAGCCTTTCAAGGTCAGTGAAGACTCAGGACATAGGAGAACCTATACTGTAACATCATGTAACTCAATTATGTCCCGAATTTTCTGATCAAGGAGATTATGGGGCCAAAGAAGAAAGTGATCTATGATGTAGAGTGTGCCTAAGGAGAGTCACATGGAGAGAAAACATTCTCTCAGTCTTTCACAGAGAGCACATTGGTCAAGCAATGGCTGTGACTCATCACATGGCTGACACTGACAAAGGATCTGCAACCTGTGGTACAGGGTTACAGGATAAATCCTGAGGATACTTGACTGACCTTATCAGATGCAAAAACTACATTTCTTGTTATATAGGTCTTGCTTTATCTTGGTCTTAACCATCCAGCAGAAAAGTATAAAAATGAGGTAGGTAAAGTAAAGCCATGGGGGCCTGCCCCTTAGCTCAGTTCTTTAAGTGACTGCTTCAGCAAAGCAGTCAGGCTCAGGTTGCGGTGGTTCAATCCCCACAATTCAAGCCAGCCAAACCTGCCCTGAAGGCATTCGGAGCAAATAAATAAATAGATAAATAAATAAAGTAAAGCCATATTAATATGCTGAGCTGTGAAAGGCTCAAGTCAACAACTTCTGTGGATAACCCACTACTATTGTGGACTGCTGGACTGTGTTGGGTTGTTTTGCTGAATTCATGCACCTATAGTATTTAGATGCCAACAGAATACCCATTTCTGACAGAACTAAACAAAAAAAGGGGGATACAAAGGAAGGACTATTTTGTATCTGTATATGCAGAATAGTTAGGATAGATATACAGCTACTTTCGCTTAATTCAATGAGAAGAAAGATTTGTACTAATAGTGTTTGGACAGGATATCCTGTCTGCATCTTGTACTATGGATAATCACTAAGAAGATAACAATGTACAATGTATTAATTATTGAAACTGTCCTATTAATCAGTTTTGAAACTGTCTCATTGCTATTTGTTTCTCAATAAACTAAAATTTGAAAAAAAGATTTTTTTTTAATTTTGGAGACTACCATTAATACCATTGATTAAAGCCATTTCTCATTATTATGCTAATTAGCAAAGTCTGCATCTAGATGTGTTCAGAAATAGCTGGAGTATGACATTTCGTACATGTGACTTTGTGGTTGGACACCTAGCATGGAACTTCAGTTAGTACAGACTTGTAATAGATCAGTATTACAATCCAAGTGAATATTTTGGAGTAAATTTATAGGCCACCTTCATGAGAAATAAGCTAATTAACAAATTCTGGGGCTTTGTTTGGTTCTACAGACGGAGCCTGAAATCATAGAGGAAACCAATGTGGACAGAGTTCATGACCCCCGGGGCTACGCCAGGTCAAGGCCCGTGAAAGGTCACTCGGAGACCTCCACACTGAGCTCCCAGCCGTCCATTGACGAGGTGAGGCAGCAGATGCACATGCTCCTAGAGGAGGCCTTCAGCCTGGCATCCGCAGGCCACGCTGGCCAGAGCCGCCACCAGGAGGCCTATGGCTCCACACAGCACCTGCCCTACTCCGAGGTGGTGACCAGTGCTCCAGGGACCATGACGAGGCCCAGGGCTGGTGTGCAGTGGGTACCGACCTACCGCCCAGAAATGTACCAGTACAGTCTGCCCCGGCCGGTAAGTCCAAAGTCCCTCTGGTCAGCCCAGGCCAGTGGGTCCACCAGGGGACTCAAAGCAGGGACTTCTAATGATGGGCCTCCCTGGGAATCAGAGACAGAGCTTGTTGGCTCTCATTGAAGTCCTCAGCCGTGACACACGGCCTTTTATTCCTGTAGGCAAAACAGCTCCAAGAAGCTCTTATGCCTGGATGTGATGGCACATGCACTGGGGAAGCCAAGGCAGAAAGCAAGTTCTAGTCCTGCCTGGGCAACTTAGCAAGGCCCTCTCTCAACATAAAGAAAATTTTAGAAGAGCTTGGGATATAGCTTACTGTGAAGGCTCAGGGTTCAATCCCCACTACAGATTAAAAAAAAGTGGGGGGAGCTATGGCTAAGTGCTAATGTACCACTGGGTTCAACCCACCAGGGTGAGGAAAAACAAAAGCCTGTATGTTCAACCATAATACATTTTAGAAAGAATTTTATTTTCTGCTGTCCCTCGTGAAAAGGGCTGACGTCCATCTTCATTCAAGAAGAATGCTAGGTAAATAGTAAAAGCTAGTTCATTTAGTGGTCGTTGCTCCTATGATTTCAATAACTTTTACTTTATTTTATTTTATTTTATTTTTTCCATAATTTTATTGAGAAACAAATAGCAATGAGACAGCTTCAAATCAAATTGGTAGGACAGTTTCAATAATTAACACATTGCATACTTTCTTCCTAGTGGTTAATTGCTGTACAAGATGCAGACATGATATCCTATTTACAAACACTATTAGAACAAATCCCTCTATTCATTAAGAGAATGTAACTATATATCTATCCTAGCCATTTGAATACGCAGATACAAAATGGACATTCATCTGTATCCCCTTTTTTGTTTAGTTCCATTATTTGAATATTATAGGTGTGTTAACTCAGCAAAAAATTCTAAAGGAGTTCAATAGTCCATAATAGTATTGGATCTTCCGCTTCACTGGCAATGTCAGAAATTGTTGACCTGAGTTCCCTACAGCTCAACATAACACCATGGCTTTACTTCTTATACTTTGTTTTTATACTTTTCTCCTGGATGGTTGAGACCAAGATAAAGCAAGACCTATGCAACAAGAGTTGTAGCTTTTGGATCTGATAAGGTTAATCAAATCCCCTCAGGATTTATTCTGAGAGCCTTTACCTCAGATTGTAGGCCCTTTGTCAGTGTCAGCCATGAGGATGAGTCACGGCCATTGCTTGGCCAGTGTGCTCTCTGTGAAAGCCTGAGAGAATGTTTTCTCTCCATGTGACTCTCCTTAGGCACACTCTATATCATTGATCACTTTCTTCTTTGGCCCCATAATCTCCTTGATCAGAAAATTTGGGACACTGCCAAGTTACATGACATTACAGTACAAGTTCTCATATGTCCTGAGTCTTAATTGACCTTAGAAGGCTAGGGCCAAAATGTTGGCTTTCCTTGCAGCCCTCCTTTTTCTCTAATTTTGGTCTGCAAACTTAGGTTGTTAACCCTCCAGAAGACAAGCTTATTGTTTTTACCATACAACCTAAGCTGTTAAGCTTAACCTCTCTGTCTGAATATCAAACATTTTAGGCATAACATGGAACAGGTATTTTTCATCAAGCATTGATATGTTGAACTTTAAGTCCTTACAGAATATGATGAAAAAACATTTGAAAAATTAAAATATATTTTAAAAATAGTTATAAAGAATTGTATAAACAAATAACAATTTTAATTAGTTTGCATTTTTCATCACCATAGCAACTAAATGTATCTTCTGCAGATGATGGGCATACTTGTATAAATTGTAGACCTTACTAGACGGTGCTGGCATATATAGATTCAGCCCTTCTGATACCCCTAGCCCTCTCCCTGGAGTGGCCCTTGAGCAAAGGCTTACAAATGTTACTGTGATTACGTCACCACTCAAGAAGAGTCGACCTCAGTGAGTGTCTTCTCAGTCCTGGTAGTGATCTAAGTGTTACCTGTATGTTACTTATTCAGTGCTTCCTTACGACAAGCCCCCGAGACGAGTACTAATTTTATCTCTAGTGTATAGATGAGAAAACTGAGAATGTACAGCCTGTCCAGGGACAGCCAGGAAGAGGCAGAGTTGGGAGCCAAAGCCGGGCAGTCCAACACCACAAACTAAGTCCTTCTTAACCAGTGTGCTGTGTTGTCTTGCATTTTATTATATCACCTCTCGTCTGTATCATTCACTTCATTTACAGTAGATTGTTTGGGGCACCTGTGGGGCTGCATCCACACCCTAAGTACACACTATCCTGGGACTTAATGGATGGCTGTGATGCTGTGTAGGTGTGCGGCCTGCTGTGTCCATATCGTCCCTCTGCTTGCTCCACATCGCTCCTTCCGGCCCACTGAAATGTCCCCCATGGCACTGCGCTTTGAGTCATGCCTCCTTCTCCTTGAAGGTCTTGCCTCCTACCTAGGCTTCCTGTCCCCACTCCATTCCTGGGTGATGAACAAAAGAACCCAAGTCTGATGCAAATTGGGGCTCAAGAGAGGTGGCTGTGCTTGGGGTCATCAGCAGGGCAAGGCTTGGTCCTTAGGTTACCAGGTTTAGAATTTCTGTCTTGTCCCTTTCTCCAGCGGGATGAGATCCCAGGAATCCGAATGATGCTGATTAACCTCACAACTGGGTGTTTATCATTATCATTGTTGTTATTATCATTTGGTACCCAGGCTCGAACTCAGGACCTTGCACTTGCCAGGCAGGCGCTTGTGCTGCTGATTTAGCTCCCTGGCCCCACATCTGGATTATTATTAGGAATATGAGTTCTCAGTAAGAACCTTCAGTGAGTATCGGGTGGCCAGGTGCAGTGTGGCCTGCCCAGTACACTTGTGCTTGCTGTCCTGTGTGACCTTCACTAAGTACTGTAAATGCCAGTTTGGGAGGAAATAAGACAGCACGAGAACTAGTTGTCTAAAGTCATCTTCTCATTTTGTGACGTGTAAATCCAGAGTACAAGCAATAAAGAAAATAAACACAAGCCATCTTTTTTCATATTCTGCTTTCTGAAATAAAGGTAGAATACAAAGAAAATTTATTTTTCTTTTCCTTCTTTTACAGCGCTAAAGATCAAACCTCATGCATGCTAGACAACAGCTCTACCACTGTGCTGTGTGTGTCCCTAGCCCTCAAAGAAAAGCTCTTAATATAATATTAATATTTCTGTTTTTATTGTGGTAAAGTATACATAGCAAAATACACTATTTTGACTATTTTAAGTGCACAGTTCAGTGATCAATCTCCAGAATCCTTCATCTTGCAAAATGGTACTTAGTACCCATCAGAAACACATCTTCCCTTCCCCCCTTCTTCCAGCCCTAGCAACCACCATTCACTTTCTGTCTATGAATTTGACCACTTTAAGTATTTCATATAAGTAGATTTATATATTTGTCTTTTTATGATTAGATATTTACTTATCTTATGTCTTCAAGGTTCACCCACATCATAACATGCATCAAGAGTTTCCTTCCTTAGGGCCAGCCAGATAGCTCAGCGGACTAAAGCACCTGCTTAGGTAGAGCCCAGTGGATGGGGTTTGATTCTCAGCGTGCCATGCCTGGCACCTCTCCCGAGGCATGCTGAAATGGCATTTGAGACTGGGCCTGGTGGAGCGCACCTGTAATGTTAGCACTTGGGGGGCTAAAAATAGGAAGATCACTACGAGTCTGATCTGTGTAGTGAGACTCTGTAGACCCTGTACTAAATACACACACACAAAAAAATTCCTTCCTTTTAAAGGCAGAATAACATTCTGCCTTTAGCACATGTTGCCTATCCATTCATGTCAGTGAGCATTTGGTATAGTTCCACCTTTTGACCATTATAGATGTTGTGAGTGTGAATTTCCCTGTACAAATATCTCTTCAAGTCCTTGCTTCCCGTTCTTTGGGGTGTGCATCCAGGAGTAGAACTGCTGGGTCACATGGAATTCTATGTGTAATCCTGGAGGAACTGCCCTATCACTCCCCTCAGTGATGGCATCATTTTCCCTGCATCAACAGTTCCCAAGAGTCCCAGTATCACCACATCTTCATCAATTTGACTCGCATTTGTAAGGATCCATTGGTCTTACTGTGAACTGTTCGACATGGCGGCAAGAATAAGAAAGATAGAGAAGAAGACAAAAGCTGGGCTGGGTAGTTGCTAGTCCACCTGATGGGCAAGACTAACTCCACCCCTAAACAAAATGATCCTTTATTTATACAAAGTTTGTAACACTTGACACAAGGTTGCCTAGCAACTAATAGCTGGCCTGAACCAGACAGGATGTTTTCTCAGGACTGAGGTAGCTTGTTTGCTTTAGGCACTGAGGCCCAGTCCCACCTACACACATTTGATCAATTTCCTACCTTCCAGATGGCTCCCCACAGCATTTACGAAACCTTTACTGATGCTCAGCACCTTTCCCCGTGCTTTTTTGTCTTCCTTCTTAACGGAGTTTTTCAGGCAAAATGGGTTTGGGGAAATGACTAGATCTTAGGAATATAAGTTTTCCTCCACCACAAGGGAACTTGGATGGGTGCATTCACAAAGCACTGAGTTACTGAAGAGTGTCAACACCTCTGAGGCTACCACTGGCCACATTCCCGCCAGCCTGAGCATCTGAGCTTCCCCTTTGCTCAGAAAAAAAATTTGAAAAATTCTCATTCACCCTTCAAACCAGTCTCATAAGTGCTTTTCCATGACAATCACTTTATAATTTCCAAGATTACAGCAACCTACTAATTGCACATCACATCGGCACCTGCCTTTAGGAAAGAGGGAATTTCCTCTCTGAAATTTATTTATTTATTTGTTTATTATTTTTTTAATGTATTTGGTTGTTGCAGGGTCTCACCACACCACACAGCTCAGATTCTTGGTGATCCCCCTGCTTGCAGCCTTCCCAGTGCTCGGATTACAGGCATGTGCTACTAAGCCCGGACTCTGGTTGGCGTAGCTGGCCCTGCCTGGAAGGAGGAGGGGCTGGCACAGCATG